GGGGGGGTGAGGGGGGCGCCTGCGGCGGCGCTCGCCGGGGCCCATCAGTGCTAAGGGGTCTGCCTCCCGGTCAAGGGAGGGATCCGCCGGTGGCCTCATTCAGTCGCACAATGTTCGCGCGCGCACACTGCTTCGACTCGCTCTCATTCGCACACAAACATGTTTCTTAAGCCGTAGGGGTTGAACGAAAAAAAAAATTGCATGCTTTGACGCCGGCGTGCCCTTTTTTTGCCACTGTCGTCGAGACGCGTCGTCGCGGGGAGCGGGACCTTTTGCTTTGGTGCGGCGCGCGGTGGCGTCGCACGACACTTTCCGACACTCCCCCAGAATAACCCAACAGTTTTCGTGACTCGGGCGACGCGCGTAGCGCCGCGTAGGTCCTCTAAAATGAAAAATTAGTAGAGCGGCGACGCGACGCGACGCAATGCTACATGTCGCACCGCCAGGATCGCGTTTGTTTTTGCACACCAGTGCGCCAGTTAGCGCGGGGCTCTCTCGCGGCGCCGAAGGCCGCGGCCGTGGCGGGGACGTGATCTATTCCCAGACAGCTGCAGGCTGCACTTTGCAGTGCAAACACGTTTTTGCTTTGGGCGCGGACAAAGGGCGTGTGTAGGAAGCGGGCGAGGAGAGAGGCTGTATTACCTGACGAGGTCGAGCAGGGTGTCCACGGTGGTCACGTTCCTACTGCTGCCCTCGCGCTTGATCTCCTCGGCCGCGCCGCCGCGCCCCGGGTGGATCACGCACACCAGGATGATGCCCTCGATGACGGCGAGCACGGTGGTCGTCAGGTAGTAGACGATGGCGCGCGCGCCGATCTTGTAGGAGAGGGAGAGGTCGAGCGAGCCGATGGCCGCCACCACGGACGAGATGAGCAGCGGGATGATGAGGGCCTTGAGCATGCGCAGGAAGAGGTCGCCGATGAACTGCACGTAGACGATCTCGCGCGGCGTCCAGGAGTCGGTCTTGAGCGCGCGCATGGTGAAGCCGAGGATGACGCCGCCCACCACGCCCGAGACGGTGAGCGTGGTGAGCAGGTTGGTGCGCAGGCACTGCGTGACCCGGTGGCCGGCCATGGCGTGGCGGTGCGAGCTGCGGTGCGAGCCGGGGCCCACGGACACCACGTGCGTCGGGGTGGCCTTGTTGTCCTGCAGCGGCGACCTGAAACACGAGGAGGGGCGGAACAGAGTAAATGGCAAGCCCATTGCATAACACTATGATGAAGGCAGCAGTTAGAGTTTTTCCGTGGATTTTTTTTTCTCAGGGTGGCCTGGGCCACCACAATACAACCAGCGCGGTCGACAGCCCCTTTGATTGATAGGTTCATCATTATTTCGCCTGCACGGCGGCGCTGCGAGTGGCGGGGGCCGGGCCGGGCCGGGGCTGTCATCCGCACGGCCCTGCGCTGCGCCGCGCCCGAGGTCTCTGCCTGCCTGCTCCTCCTCCAGCCCCAGCCTGACGGGGCTCACTGGTGATCAAGGGAGGTGGCTGATGCCCGCGAAATAGTTGAATAATACATCTCGATATTTTTGCATAGTTTTTCTAAACTCAGTTCAGCATCGGGGATTTTTCATACTCTCCCGTAACTCTAAAAACGTCATACATTCTTTCTCCACTTGACTTTGACTTCATACTGTCAAAACCTTGCAAAGAAAAATTCTAAATCCTTCGCAATCGCAAAGCTTTTAAGCATTTGCTTTGTTTGTAACTACCATTGCAAAGGATTTGGCATTTTGCTTATTTGCAAGGTTTAAAATGCGTTCTTTCTTCTCTAAAACAGTACCACGCAGAGTGGTGAAGCCAAGGCGTTGTGCCCCACCACACCCCGGCCGCCCCGCCCCGCATGCAGGCAGGTGCCGCGTGCCTTCAGGTCCAGCCCAGCCGGCTAAGATACCGCCCCGTCCCCGTCGCCG